AGCCATCATGTACAGATACGCTTTGCATCTGCAGCCTTCACTTTGTCGACCCGTCATCCAGTCCTCTTCTCCTGCCCCTACTGTACCTCTTCCCACCCCCTCGAGCTTCATCATGTCTCTTATTCGTGAGGTCCCCCGTCATCGACTGGTCCAGTTTGTACCCACTCATCCCGGGGGGGGGATCCCGGGGGGGGGGGGCTGAAGCTTTTCTAATCTCGTCAACCATCGTGACGATGTCGCCGCCGTCACTACCGACTGCCGTGTGCCGTCCCCTCTTTCTTGGCATCCCTGACCTCCCATGTGCTTTTCTCTTGCTGTCCCTCTCATCCGTACACGAGCAACGGTACGACTGAGCATTAGCAAACCTACCTTAACTCCATCTGCTCCGAGGCACCTAGCACGGGACGGGGGGCGTCAGGGCGACGCACGGAGGCCCCGATCTTGACGTGAGCATAACTCAACTTACCTCTCACCACTCGTGACTTGCGGCTTGGCCAACACGGTGTAACGGTAAAGGCCATGCGCCGTGATGCTTTCCACTCCTTCCCCCACAACAAATAACAGACACCGACTGGCTAATCGACGACGTCAATGTAACACAACGTGTGCATCCTGGCCTGCTTAGCCACCGTCAAACAATGAACTCGCAGTCTGTAGATATCGCCATTCAATGCGCAAGAGGCAAAGCCGATCCTCATCAGTACATGCCGCGTCAAAAGGATTAGGCGTCATGCAGAAACGTAAACAATTCCAACGCCGCCGTCTCTTCAGTGACGTTTGGTCGAATGCGACCCTCGAGGAGGTCCTTCGCCCAAGCTCACGAAACCGTTGAAACCGTGCCCTCCCCTCCCTCCCTCTCCCCAAGCCTGGGGTTAGACTTGGGATTGTCGCGGGAGATTGACGGACGTCTGTGGTATCGTTTTGGCATGCCGTGGGAATCGAAAGGGCAATGCGGAGAACGGACCAGAAGAGTGAGCCCAGGCCGGCCGTGGTCGTCGTTGTCGTCCGAGTTGCAAACACCACCGTCTGCCCCCCTCAGCCTCAGACATCTCATCCCCCCTGCTGATGTTGCTGCCACCACTGCACCCCATCTGTCAGACATGTTGCTTTCCCCAGCCCAGTGCAGCGCAGCATTCGGTGGGAAATCTTGACGATCTCTCGTCGCAGGAACCCAAAAAAGAAGGTCAGAGGGAACGCGCCAAGGCCATCTCCCGTCGTGCAGCGTCGGTCGTCTTCGAGACTCCCCCAGGGGCCAAGCAAGCAACAAGGCTTAGCTAGGTAGGATGCATGTAGGACGTCTCGTCTTGTCGGCGGTACGAATACTGTAGGTATCTGTAAGTGGTAATGTCTAGTGACACAATAGCCCGCAACGTCTCTATGGCCCGTGGCATAGGTTCGTATTCGACACTTCAATGTTGAATGTCTTACACTACACGATCAAGACATTTCATCTATTGGACGCCGGCTGGCACAATATCCAGCTCCTAGATGTTGCAAGGTTCCTTGCTCAGAGTCGATCGGCAAGGTTGCTCCGCCCTCTACCCTATTTTCGACGTTAATGCGCCCAGACCGAATGGCAAGTCAGCGAACCCCCCCCCCCCCCCTTTGGACGACAACCACCGAGGCTGTACTCGACGCATTCCTTTACAGAGTACCGCGGTAGGAGTTCTGTAGTGAAATTAACTTTGCCGTGCGTAAACTTCCGACGTCGACTTCATTTCGAGCCGCAAGGAGATCGTCGGCCGGGGCAGAGCCGTTCGCTGGGCCGATTAAGGTCAAACCACCCCGCTGCCCCGAAATGAGGCGAAAGTGAGAGCGGCAGGCTGCCCGCACGATCCGCATGACGGCTTCGACTCTATCCGCCGTTGCCAACGCGGCTCGATAGGGTATCTAGCACTCAATCTGGAGGCCCGGCTGCGATGAACTCTGACACCTATCGTGGCATTCATAGTTCGTTCGGGAGGCCTGTCTCAGAGTCTCAGTGCCTGCTGGTGATTCAAAGTTCGAATGGTTGTCTCCGCTTTGGAAGGATGAGCAGATTGAGAGACGACTCAGACGAGAGATACTCCCCTTGGAGTTTAGCTCAATAAAGCACCGTCCACTCCCTCTAATTATTTCCCGCATGTCTTTCGTAATCTGGCGTGCGTCGACAGCGTTGCCAATCTTTTAGGCTATGTCGCACGAGAGAGGAGCCAAAAAGGCCGCGCACGTTCGTTCAATCTCGGGAGCCTCCCATCTCGGAATGGAGCGATCTCCCATGCGCTCTCGGGATCCATAGATCCCAGGTTCACACGAATAGCGGTGGCTTGCTGGCGGACATGCGCTGCGTTATTGTGCATGCGTATCAGGATTATGCAAGGCCAAGGCTGAGTTACTCAACGTTGTATCCGCGTAGTCGCACACAACGGCTGTGGTGTACTACTGCACCATTGCCTGCCCGTGGTTGTACATTGTATGGTTTGTCTAACAGCCAAGCCTTTTCAGCGTGCGATTAGAAACCAGTCAGAGACTCCAAACAGCCCCTTCCTAGGAGACAGGCAGACAATACACGGTCCACCGAGCGAGTGTCACTGTTAGGTAGTCCGACTGCTGAAGATGCAGCGATACGGCCTTTTCGGGATGCGGGAGGGCATTCCGCAGCCTCACGTTGTGCTTTCCGTACGCTTTCAACCTTCCTTTTGACCGTATAGCTGACGACGGCGCGCTTCAGCTTCGTTTCCCGTCCGTTTGGATACTGTGGAATGTTTGGCCGTACCACGCCATCTGGAAGGGATAGCAACCAACGTCGGTCTAAAGTCGACGACAATGTGCGTGAGTAATGGCAGGCTTGGCCCCGCTGCATCAGTGCCTGTGCAAGACTGACTTGCATCGCATCAGTTGATCGCCTTGTCATACGCGAATATGACATTATCATAATCCCTTGGATCCTCAATGTTATTGTCACAATGCTCAGACTCTCGATACGAATACTTTGGGATACCTTCTGCATGTGGCCAGCCCTAGAGCATGACTGGCACGTCCCTGCCAATGAGTCTTAACCGAGCCGATGGATGAAAGAACCTGGCAAAGCTAGAGACAGGATAGTGACCGAGAGGTTCCCAGCGGTGAGGGTACTGTGATTGAGATAGATTAATAGATAGCAATAATTATGCCATGGTCCATGGGTGGTATACATTGACAAGGCCGATGATGGAGGCGAAGGGCTGATTTTTTTTTTCTCGCGCGGCTGAAAGGGGGTTCAACTGCTGCCCCCACCAAGCCAGAGAAGGCGTGGTGCGTGCAGCGTGGGCCATGGGCGAAGCCATCGACGAGGATGTCGTCGAGCAGAAAAAGTGACGACCCAATCGGGAACTTTGAAACGGCGCGGCGTGGAGGTTGTATTCGTATTTGATTGGCTGTAGACTTGGACATGACAACGGATGAAACATCGACGGCCCTTGACAAGTCGTGCGTCTCGAGACATGCAGGGATGAGGCCAGTCTTAGATTCGCCCAAGTCGTGGTTGGCCTGGGAGGCCCCGGCCGAAGAGGGGTCACTTGGAGACGCCGCGAAAGACGGATGAGGTGACGAATGCTGCTTCAACAGCCGCCCGTGGTCCCCTGCGCCGCCATCCCATCCCATAATAACAAAGTACGGCTGACATCTAGCCTATTTGCCCTGTATCGACCTGAATGACAGGCAGTAGGCAGGCATGCATTTGCTGGTTGTTCCTCTGCCTGCCTGTGAACCGTGGACCGTGGTAGTCCTCTCGAGTCTTGACAGGTCAGGGTGGACCTGCGGTTGTGCTCAACGTTGGCTTCGATGCGCTGGTGGGACAAACCGCCAACAAGCGTCAAACTGCTGCGATGCTCAGGACCTTTCGGCCTGTTGATGTTGGTAAGCGATATTCGACGAAGCCCCCTCCGAGGCTCCTCCTCCATCAGTCCACTTCGGCCCCCGACACCGCCGTGAACTTGGAAATTCGAGGAGGGGCGCATCCCCCGACACGATGCGACTCTGCAGACAAACATCGCTCGCTTGTCTCTTCGCTTCGATGATATCGAATTATCGATTGCTTCTAGACTCGGGTCCGGTCTTTGTGAGCTCATCGTATCCGCCATGACATCCCAGACCCGAAATAAGGTAATCTGGAATCCGGGATACGTTATTGTCGGAAGTTGGACCAGTAACTCGGCCCACGAGGATGAGCCGCGGCGTATGTAGGGCTACCGTTGTCTCCGAATCGAAGGATGCTGCTCCTCACCTTCCGAACAGCGGGTATAGGAACAACAACTTGCATTGATCAGCGCTTCGGAAATCTTGAAATCTCGACCGTGACTTCCAAATTTCCTTGGCTAGGCTTGCAGCTAGCCCCAGTTGTGTGAGTTGTCAGCTGGCCCGTTTGTAGATCGAATTGCCCAGAGCCGCAGGCAATATCGAATCAACATTGTGACTTGGCTACAATGCGATGTACCAGATGGTCCATACATCTCTCTTTCGCTTGTCCCAGGTACAGTTGAGACCACCTCAACGTTATCGGGGCCGGTCTGTGGTACGAGTGTTTTCCGACCGCACGAATGTGATGGTCACCAGCGCGGGTTTCTCGATGCCCTGGCAGGTTTCAATAAGATCATACTCCAAACTCCATCAGTCGTCATCGGTCTTCCATCATCAGGCTGTCGTGTTCCGGAGTTGGCGCGTCTCTCTCCGCTTGTTCGTCTCGAGATGTTGAATAGGCATGTTGATGCTCCCCTGCTCGAACACCGCCAAGACTTTTGGGACGTCGCTCTCGGGGATGCTTCCATTACTTATTGCACCTCGCTTATTGTAATCCTGCTGACAAAACTTCGAAGTGAACCACTGCGTGCGCGTTCGAGTACGAGAAACGTTACCGAATTCTGGGGATGCAAGCAGCTCGTACCGCACATCCGACGTTTGGTGCCGCAGTAAGGGCGTATTTCCACTGTACTGGTGTCAAAGTGCAGCACATTACGCAATTCGATGTTTGCAGATGCTGTAGATCATGTTTGTGATTCGATATCAGTGCGTGAATATGGCGACAGCTCGGAGCTGCCGCCAAAGGCCTGGTCGGTCGCCATGCCTTTTGCCGTTTGCCGGTGAAGAAGCTGCTTCCGCGGCAGGTTCCAGACCAAATCATCTCCGTTGCCCGCCGCCATTCCGGCCGCGCAGGTGTGGCCACTGGCCATGTCTCGGCTCTCCCCCACCGGGCAGAGCCCCGCGACATCGCATCCCTGGATTCGGCTCATCCGTCGTGCGCCTTGAAAGTCAATCTTTCTTTTGCTATTAAAAGAGTCGAGACACGTGCTATCCTCCACAATCCGAAAATGCAGGGTCTGGTGCTTCATCTCAGGGCGATCTGTGATCCGAACGAGAGGCTCCGAGGCGGTTGGCATGAGGACGTCGGCAAAATCTTGCGACGGCTCAACACGTGTCGTTTCAATAACATTGTTAGACTTTGCTGGGCGTTTACGCCGAGAGGACTTCAATCAAGAATGCGAAATGCAAAATCCGCGCCTGGGACGATGTTCGACTCAGGTACGCTTGAGAGTTGGCGTCCAGACTTGGCGATGGTCGAAGCTGATTTCAAATTCCAAATGCTTGGACGTTGCAGCCGAGCCTGCAAAAGTCAGTCCGAGGCTCTGCGGCAATGATAAAGAGACGTCTCCCCAACCGTCTGCCCATAACGTGATGGCCTGTCGTATTGACTTTCATTCCCTTCTCGTACCCTATGCAGCATTCCTGAGGTCGGTAGTGCTGCCGAGAATTGCTGTTAACACGACCGGTCCGGATTCGGTCTGATAGTCATCGGGAAGTATGCTGATGACCACGACTCGGATCGCGGTTATCTGCGAGGTAGTAGCTTGGTCAGCCAGTTGCCTGGATCAAACCCTCAGTGGCAAGCTTACGGTACAACTGCAACTTGCCATGACATGGAATCAAGGTTAAACTCTGCCGACCCCTCGAGCTGACTCAAAGCCTCCGCGTGACCTCTTGCTCAGAAAATAGGTTGATCGCAGCAATAGCCATGCTTGCTGTAGAACAAGTTGAAACGGTGGAAGGTTGACGAAGCCTACCCGAGCAACTCAATTGCAGCTGGTTTTCGTCGTTATGCCGAACCTTGATCTGGGCCCTGTGGACGAATTTTAACGTCTACTAATACGTGACATTGGCATCTCGAGCATCCGTGGCTGTACGGCGTACAATAACAACACTGGATGGAGACGTAGCCCGTTGTCGGTAGTATGTATGCCTTGAGTCCATGGCAAAGGTCGTGGTAATATCTGTGAAGTCCGGAATCCAGGTATTTGATCAAAAAAAAACTTCGATGACGTGATGAAGCCGCAGTTCGTTGTTAGGTTCTAAGTTCATGCATCGGTCAAAGGTGGGATGTACCTTATGGCTCGACGTCGTTACTTCGTCGGTCTTTCCGTTGCTTGAGTTCAATGTAAGTACCTGCTGAGGTAAGTAGGCAATGAAATCGGGCATTTTGCAAGTGGACTCCCGACCATGTGACTGTCAGGGAAGCGATAAGCCGAGATTGTGCGATAAGGTCAACCGATAAGACACCTCGAGAAAGTGGCTCAATTTACACTCTCGATCTTGCAACTAAGAAGATGATGCGATGGGACTGACTCTACCCCTCGGAGCTCGTCACGCAGGGACGGCTGTGCACGTCTCATCCACGAGGTGGGCAGTGAGCCCGTCTTGACTCTGACGTCCTGGGCTGCAATGCACCCTGACGTTGAACGCGCTGTGAAGGTGGTATTCGGTGTCAGGCCAGCCAGCCAAACGGGACATTCATATGGTTTTGCACGCGCATGTCCCGTCGGTTGATGTGCATCAAGGTGGGGGGTAATTAGACTGTCAGGCTTATTATATCGTGTACATTCTTGGCCTCGAAAGGTTGTTTACTGCGGCAACTGTCGCCCGGGTGCTCGCGAATGAAGAAGAATCAAAGAGAAATCCAGCAAAGGAGGAAAGGGTTTACCCTCATTCCTTGATTCAACCTTATGTTTCCGTTGCAACCAGCCGTCTTGCACATCGCTTTTACTAGTATATTTACCTGGCACTCGAAGGGTCGATTGAAATAAGGTCCCTTGAGTTGAATAGGTATCCATGCATTTGATAGAAAGTCTGGGCCGGGGCAGTAAGTTAAGGTATGCGGATATGTAGAGACTGACAGTAAATGAGAAAATAAGCTACCGACTGCCGTTCCGTGTATCCTGTTGGTGCCGTCATCTTTTATTGTGCTGTCATGCTTCCTTGGAAAAAGTTGTCTTGTTGATGTTACTTTCCCCTCTTTTCGGCCAATAAATATAACTTGCGGAATGAGTATCCATCCATCAGAAGCAAACCACTTCATTATTGACTGTAATTAATTTCCTCGCCCTCTTGACCTTTTTTGACCATTCGGCAAGTACATCCCTCTGGCTCCGCGAGAGTTGAAAGGGTTTTGTCAGGTATTTCCGGCAGTCTATCGACTTCGTCAAGGAGTCGTTACCACATTCTGTCCGTCCAATCTTCTATTGTGCCACACACCTCACTCAACTCACTGCCTACCTGCCTGTCCACCTGCGGAAACACGAAAGCAAACCACGCCACCCCCGTCGCCAGTTCGCCTGCCTCACCAACGCAGCAGCAGCAGCAGACCGAAACTGCAGTAATCAATTGCCTTTACCTTACCTTACGGCGTACCTTGGTGGCATAACAACAAGCCTCAATCGGGGCCGCCTCCCCTATTCTTATTTTATCTGACCGTCCTCACCTTGCAGACCTAAAGTACCTTTTAGGCTTACCGTGCCACACCGGTACCCGCAAGCCGCACCGCTCCCGCACCACCGCTGCCTCACCTAACGCAACGCAGAACACAGGCGCAGGCACAGGTGCAGCAGGCGCAGCACTTTCCTTCCTGCCTTCCCTTCCCGGCCGCTCGACCATTTTCCAATTGTCCGGTACTCGTTTCATTTCCAGACACACAGCATTGAACACTCCAACAAACCCTTTTTCCACTTCCACATCCAGATTCTACCTTTTGCTTCTGCTTCCGCCTCTGTCTCCTCTTAGTTTTGTTGTTCTCTTTGTCCCGTCTTGCAAGGCGAACTTTTACGACGACACCTTCTGCCGTAGTCCAACCTTTACGAACACCTATCGACGACACTTCTTCCCATTTCTTTCCATCACCGTGTCACTGCTGGGCTCCCCTCTCTTTTTCTCCAAATCATCTCTCAGGCTCTCTCCTCAGGTCGCATTCTCAGTCGTCAATAGTCGACACTTCCATTCTTTCGCCGGACCCCGACCTACCTCGTACTGTGTGTATGTGTGTGTGTGTGTGTGTGTGTCTACCACCAATCACTCCATCGCTGTCTCTCGCCCTCTCACCACCTCACCACCTGGTTACCAGGTAGCCATACGATTATCTCCCTCCGCCTTGGCCTCCACCCCCTCCTCTGCTCTCCTCTCCATCGTCTCCTCTCCTCCCGCCGCCGTCCTTCTTATCGGCGCTTCCACTCATTGGGCCGTTTCCCTGTTGCTGCGCACGCGACCGACCGCGTAAAGTGGCTTGGGCGAAGCGAAGAGACCCCAGCGCAGCGCTACTTTCCACTGGGACCAACCTGACGAATACGGCCGCCAGCCGACCAAAACAGCTGCTCAGCATTGTTGTGACCCCCCCGGTCTGCGTTATCCAGGGTCTCTGAATTATTGGCACTTCATTTCCCCCACCATCGTCAAAGCAGCCCAGAGCCAATCTCCCTTCGCCTTTTTTCCCTTCCGCTTGATCAGCAATCCCGCTATCGCCGCCGTCGCCGCCGCTCCCCCGTTTCCCCCCTTGGAGAGAGCCCGTCTGGCCATGATCTAGGAACGGCTTCAACCCTCCCCTCTCCGAAAATCTTAGTTTTTCGACCCAAAGAATCGCCCACTTCGACCCCGACGACCATGTCCGTTTGCGTCGAACAGTCCTTTCCTTCAACCGACGACGACGCCAACGTCACGAACAACGTCCCCCGAGACCGAGACCCCTCCGGTACCGATAGGCGACAGTCGCGAGACGACTATCATGCCAACGCCAACGCCACTGAAGAGCTGACCTCGATTATGACAGCCTCTGCCTCCATCCTTTCAACCATACTCAACACCTCATCCAACCCAGTATCACCCGGCCCATCAAGCCCACCCCTCGAGCAGGCAAAGAGCAATGAATTCGTGCCCCCGACTCGTCCAAGCAGCACGCCCTTCTTACACCCCGATCAACGGAACTCGGATTGCTGCACTCCGATGGCCGACGACGTTGATGCCTACGGCTACGGAGGCCCGGGCATCACCACTCCTTCCTATACTATCGAGACCCCCGAGGTCACGCCCTCCCTGAATTTGAATGACTTACCGGCCGAAATTCACGAATGCATTCTCGACCACCTTTTCGGATACCGAGTATCCACAAACTCCAAGAGCTCGGTAGGCATGCAGAGTGTGACCAAAAGTTGGGGAACCGCACTTCGCCATTCCCGACGCAGGGAGTTGTCGGAACTTGCTCTCGTCAGTCGCGTCTGGAGGATCCTCATCCAAGAGCGCCTATACCGTCACATCAAAATAAAGGCCACTATCGAATCGCTAGAGCTGGCCATGATGTACTTTAGCGAACACAACCACCTCCGGCACTACGTCAAGCACATTGAGATTTGGTTCCCAGTCTTCCAGCCCAAGTACGGTCCGTTGGCGTTGAGCACTACTCTTGCTCTTCCCACGGTAACAATGGACGGATTGACAAACGCGACATATACACTCCCCGCAAACAACTGCAGCCTCGAAGAGGCCTTCACCTTTGTCTCGATGGCTCTTCCTGACGTCTGTGTCCTGACTATCGAGGGAGGGGAAAGAAAGAAGGCACCAAAGGTACAGCACAGTTGGCATAAGCGACCCCCTGGCTGGCATCTGCCGACCCTTCATTCGGTTCGTACCTTGGTCACCAAAGGCCAGTGGAACCTGATGCGCGAAGACTCGGATTTCTCAGCCTTCCTCGCAGCTCTCCCCAACCTCAACGAGTGGCACGGCTCCTACAGCAAGCCCAAGTCGAAGAGTTACCTGAGCATGGCCAGCATTCTACCCAAACTACCCACAAATCTCACTTACCTCAACTTGTGCCTGGAAAGCGACTACCGGCGGGAGCTCACGTGCCCTCCATTCTACATGAAGGTTTCCAACCAGGTTCACTTCTGCTCGAAGCTGGCCGAGGCAACTCCCGCGCTGGAGCATTTGGCTTACACCGGCCGCGTTTGCAAGAATTTCTTCAATATGGCGGCGATCAGATCGGATTCGAGAACGACACGACTCAAGACGATTGACCTAACGGTCAAGAATTGCTGTCGGCCTGTACCTCAGTTCCACGATTCTGGCAGCGGAATTCAGGACATGAACTTTATTCACTCGTTCGAGATGCTTGTGTTGGCAGGCATTCACTCCATGTCGACTCTCAAGGCTCTGGACTACCTGCGGATTCGCTTCGTGGACTTGGGTAAGTCATGTCTCGCTTTTCTTCTTCTTCTTGCATTCCGTCCTTGCTAACTAGTCCCAGACTCTCCCGTCCCTCCCTTGAATCCCTACTTTGTCTTGAGAGACGGCTGGTGTTCCGGTGTCTGGAGCGACAACATCCTGGCAGAGCTGAATCGAGTCCGGCCAAACGCAAAGTTTGAGCAGTTGAGCGAGTCATTCGGCGAGGTTGGTTTCAATAAAGACGGTCGCATGATTATCAGCCCCGATTACCCTCGATCGCGAGTCTTGTCTCTCAAGCTCGCCAACTACGCACTCTTGGCGGGCAGCGTTGCTGCATTGCCCTAAAGGGTTTGTTGAACCCGCAACACCACACCAAGACGCCTTGGTACACTCCCGCATAGCGACACACCCGCACAGCGCACAGCGCACACCGATACATCCGTACGGCGGGGTTCCCTATTTTGAAATTTGACAACACCACACAACGAACATGCAAGCACAGCAATAAGGGGTTCACTTGAGAGGCGTTAATTTGAGGTTTCCGCGCCATAGATGGACAGCATCATACCCCTAATTTGATTTGGGAAAGTTCTGGGTCTGTGATTCTTGCTACCTTGACGGAGTTTGGGCTTGGCACGTGGGACGAGGGGGTAATTCGGAGTCTATAGGGCGGGAAGACTTGGTACTCCTCTATATTTGCGGCATGCTGTTCGTTTGGCTCTTGCATTTGCATGCTAAAAGAGTTGCGGAAGTCTAGTTTTGCTCCAGTCATACACAAGGTTAACGAAAAGGTTTCTTTTCCAGACAACAGGCCTTGTTACAATTACGTGATATCGTTCCATACTAGTCGCAAGTAACGTGATGTGGATGGAAAATTGTAGCGGCCATAGTCGCAGCTCCATATCATTTCCACGAGTACTGAGGTCACCCTTTCCTCCGAATCTCCTAGACGTCTAGTGCCGGTGAGGCTACATGTACCGTTCACTGACGGCTGAGGCACCAAAGCCCCGCAGGTTCTTTTGACAGACTGCCGACGTCAATACAAGATATGGGACAGTCACGCATTTGGGGTTGCTGTTGATTGTCTTGTTCTGCAGTCTATGTTTTGGTTGGCCTCGAAGCGAGTACAGACTATAATGATGCTTCGAGATATGGACTATGGTTTTCGTCTCATTCTTAAACCGGTGAATAAACCCTGGAGAAAGCATCTTATGCCATGGTCAATTTGTTGGTTATTTTTTATCAAGACTCCGATACTATGTCTGGGACGCTACTCAGAAATGGCCTTGATCGTGATAGCAAACGCGAGAAGCAAAGCTTGGGATTTGGCTTCTCAAAGTACGGCAAGCATGGGCGATACCTATTGGAGCTAGACCATAACCTAGCCAAATCCTGGATATACAGTTATTCGGGTTTTGTGTAGGGTTCCTGATTTAAATTAGAGCAGCTCCCTTCGATTTCTGATCTCCGGATTACGGCTGAGAAGTTTGAAATTAGTTGGCAGTGCAGAAGAAAGTATTCCATCCCCTAGCTTTAATTTACCAGACAGCAACTTCACCGTCAACCCGACATTCCAAAGCCAGACCAAGACCAACATGCCGACCAAGCACGTAAACCACACCTTGGAGACCCTGGATCTGAAAATCCCACTAAGCTGGAGTGCCGCGTTGGTGTAGGCGCCCTGGAACATCAAAAAGTCCCCCTTCTGAGCCGATCCAAGGAAAACAAACGGGCAGCGGAACTCACCCAAAGGAAGACCATGGCCCACCCGCAAAAGTAGACGGTATCCTATTCGGTTTCCATCCCCCTCCGAAGAAGGCGCGAAAGACGCCCGGATATGCCTAGCGGGTGGCCTTTGATGAAGTTGAAGGTGAGGAAGAGGATTGTTGCGAGGGCGAGGGCGAGAAGGGGATCCACCATAGGATGTGGACTGTTGCGGTCCATGGCGACTCGTGGGAGCCGGCGGCGAGGGCGAGTGAGGCAGTTTGGGTTACGGAGGTGAAAGTATTGGAGATGCTGGAGAGGCCTGCGAGTTCTGCGTCGTCGTGTAGTATGAGTAGGAGGATGATGGAGGTTACCCAGAGGGTATAGGATATTGGTGTGAGGCCTGGGAAGCGGAAGTCTACTTGGTGGAGGGCTGTGGCTGTTGTTGCTGTTTTTGGGGGGATGAGGAACCATTGTTCGGAGAAGTCGCGGATAGCGGTTCGAATTGGTCATGATAGTTCGTTGATGGGTGGGTGTGGTTGTGTCTGTGGTGGGATGTTGGTTGGTTTGGGGACCAACGGCATTCCGGAGACGCCCATTGAATTGCTGGATGTGGAATTTGGTGTTGATGCTGCGATGAGTGATCTTATTGGTGATGATTATGTTCCACATCAGAAGGATTTCGAGAAAAGAGGTGAGACAGGGGGGGGGGGGGGGCAAAGTAAAGATCTCTCTCTTCCCCCATGGCATAATGGCACATGGCAACATGGGGGGATAGGATGTGAAGATGTTGGGTTGGGCCAGATGATATGCAGGGCGCCCAGATGGGAAACGCCTGAGCGGATAGAGGACGGATAGACCAACGGGTAGATCGGTTTTTTGTCGATTGTTACACTAGCCCCCAGCTGCGCCATGCCGTAATCATGACGCTCTAGAACAACATCGTGTCGTACACGATGTGGGAAACGTTCAGACGCGCGGCTTACTCACCAAAAGTATCACCTCGAGCTCAATGCCGTACATCCATTCTTATCGCGGTTTACCTGCCTCATGTTGATCGCGTTACATCGCCTTTGGCAGTAGGATTCCGGATCAACGGTTCGCGCACCAACCCTTCAGATAGAAGGTCAAGCGAAACAAGGGAGAAAAGTCATCATCACAAAAAGAACCATGGGACTACCGGCGATGAGACCCCTCCTGCTAGCGGGCGGCAAGTCGACCCGGATGGGCACACCCAAACACCTCCTCCGGATGCCCGACGGAACACCCCTGTACCGGCGGCAGCTGCAACTGCTACGCACCATCTTCCCGGAGCCGCAGACGCTCTTCATCTCGCTGGCGCAGGAGTCCGAGACAGACGAGTTCCTCGATGAGTTGCTGGCGCAAGCCGCCAACCAGTCTGCCGAAGTGGAGGACTGCAAGACACCACCTCCGAGGATACAGATCCTGCGCGACTATCACCCCGCAAAGCCGGGTGCAAAGCATGCTACTGCCGGCGGCAGTGGCCCCGCCGCTGGACTCCTGGCAGCGTACCGCTACGACGCGTGGGCGTACTGGGCAGTGTTGGCGTGCGATTACCCTCTGATCCCCGCAGAAGCCTTCTTCCACCTGTTCGTCAAGCGCGACGCCGTGCCCGTGACGTGTTTCCGCACCGCCGAAGGGGTATGCGAGCCGCTGCTGGCGATTTGGGCGCCGCCTGCGCTGTCGCGTTTGGCGGAGCGGGTTGCGCGGGGGCATCCGCGGCCCGAGGAGACGGCGAGGGAGCTTGACGGGTTGATGGTTGATGCGCCGGCTGGGTGTGAGTGGTGGTTGACGAATGTGAATACCATGGAGGAGTGGGTGAAGGCTGTGGAGGAGATGAAGTTGGGGCCGCCTGGGAGGGGGGAGATTGCGCCGGAGGGTATTGTTGCGGATGTTGTGTAAGAAATCAAAAGTCACCACCCTGGTTATCAAATCGATATGCGAGCGTTGGTTTGCCGAGTTCGTGTAATATTCCACATCATGCAAAGAGTGAGTGCGCGCTCCCAAGGCAGGTACATCTCATCCGGCTCTCGGTGGACGAACAGGGCAAGAACCGGGGGACCCGCACCGGAGGACGGCCGACGGAGCCGAAGGGTGGGAACCCCGCCTGTCAGCACCTTAAACCCGAAGAAGGGGCATGTTTTTCGGTCTAAACAGCCGGGAAGCGGGGCAAAATAAGCCAAACCCCACTGGGCCGACGTCGTAAGACGTTCCCGCAGAAACAACATGCACCAACGACCAGGCAGCAGCGGCGTGCAAACAGGCAGACATTTGCATTTGAAGAAACGACATTCCATGTCAATTGCTGCCGACTATTTGAAGGAAAGTCCATTGCGGTCTTAGTGATCTGGTATTAAAGTTTGCGGTGCAGACCAACAAAGAATGTATGTGGGCCACCCTTCCGCTCAGCCGCTGTCTACCAATCCTTCCGATTTACCCCATCTAACATGACGATAGCAACATCACATGCACACGACTAGAGAAACAGAATCACCATGAGCGCACCCTTAGAACAGAACGGCTCAGGCCTATTCAGCCTACCATGGGAAATCAGAGAGAAAATCTACGAGTACTACCTCTCATTCGACCACGACGACTTTGGCGACACAGTCCGGCCGCTGCACGTCTACTTCGAGCAAGGGGAATACAAGAAACCCTTACCGCCGCTCATGTTAACCTGCAAGCGCGTCTACCGCGAACTCCACCAGCCCGTCCACGCCGACGCCATCATGCGCGTGCACTCCCACGGCTACGGCGACCGGCGCATCGGCTTCGCCGTCCACGGGACCCTGCGCTTTGAGCGCCTGCGGCGGCTGTACGTCCTCATCGCCATGGAGTATCCCAACTGGAATCGGTGGCTGGCCATCTTCGCCGAAGTAGCGCGGCGGGCGGAGGGTTTGGCGGAGCTTGTTGTTGATTGGGAGCCGAGGCCGGGGCCGCCGAACCCGAAAGTGTGGGAGGCCAAGTTGACGGAGAAGAAGCATGATGAGTTCTTTGGGGTGTTGGCCGCGTTGAAAGGGTTGGAGGTTGTGAGGTTTTATGGGGAGATGCCGGAGGGGTGGAGGGACAGGTTTGAGAGGGAGGTTGATGCGAGGCTTGTGTGTTATCGGTTTAAGTGGTGGAAGGAGACTGGGCTGGAGTGAGAATTAAAGAGGTAATGGATTGGCTGGATACAAAATAAGGCGTTTGAGGAGTTGGGATTAATGATGCTTATAGATGCCATGGCAAGACGGATAAACATCAGGCAGAATGATCTGAGAGGGCCCTGCTGTCTGCTGAGATCATGCTTTGTAACAAAACACTTAGGCCGGATGATTGGAAGATACTACCTTGTGAGAAAAGGCTGCTGGAGTCATGATACACGATCTTTCTCCTCAAGACCCTCTCACGTGACATGCATCCTCACACTTCACCTGTGAAGCATCCCGTGGATATTCACTGCTCACCTGCTCAACCACCTCAGGCACTTCTCGCCAAAGGCGAATACGACGAGTATTCCATCTTCAAGCCATACCTCGACATCCCCTACTTACCCTCTCGAATTCCTCCTGGAAAACAAGAGATCTTTTTCTCACCCACACTCTCACTTGCTTTTTTGGCAAGGCACTCTTCACGACCTTTGCTTCCACAGCAGAACCTTTGCACCGCGACAACAACCAAGCTCTTTGCTGATGACCAGAGAGTTACTCACAATGGACGTGTAGAGTATTCGCATCGTTGCTGGTATGTCTTTATTTTTTTGACGAAATTATCGCTGTTCAATTCGAACAACGCAAGCTCGTTTCTTTCACTGGATTGGCGAATATTTCAAGCACTCTACCCTGCCTTCCCAACCTGAACAGACCTCAAAGAAGTATTCTGACATGATATTTCTAGCTGGAGAGGATTCTCTTCCTCACAGCGTGCGTGTCTGCTACGAGGACGCAGAGGGCCGAGTTGTACCTTACCCTGCTTCCAACTATCGCATCATTACCGAGGAGACCCACCACCGTGAGATGATGTTCAACAGACACATCGTCAGCTACTTCCAGCTCTGCATCAACGTCATAATGGCCTACTTTTTCGGCTTCCTGGTCTGCTACGGCATGCTCAGCATCATCCGCCCTTGCTCTGCTCACGGAACCGTCAACCCGGCCTTCGAGGTCGCCGCTCGCCAGGAGTACTCCCTCGACAACACCATGAATCTTGCTCACTGCAACATCCAGCTCGAGAAGCGCGGCTACATTGACGAGGCTGCCTTTCGCCGAGCTCAGCTTGCTAACTCCCTTCGTCATGCGGGCATTACCATGCGTGACATCGACTCTGTTCTCAGCACCGACCATGAGATCACTGATGACAGCGTCAACTGGCACACTCCCGATGCTGACATCTTCGCCACTCGTGATGATGGTTGCGTTCTCAGCATCGAGACTACTGAGGGTCCTTTCTGTATGTTCCCCATACTTACCTGTTTCGTTCCTTCCCTCAGACTTTGCTGACACCATCGACAGACGTCGAGGGAGAGCTCGACCGCTTCGACCTGACCGATGGCCAGTCTGGCATTCCCATGTACCTCGACCTCCAGATCATCGACACCGAGACCTGTCAGCCCGTTCCCGACATCTGGGTTGAAGTCTGGCGTAAGTCCATACACTCTCCTATCCCTAAATCTTGGACATCCAACTAAATTCCACTACAACAGACACCAACTCCACCGGCATCTACTCCGGCGTCGTCTCCAAGGCCAACGGCGCAGGCGAAGCTGACCCCTCCAACGCAGACAAGACATTCCACCGCGGCCTCCGCAAGACCAACGCCAATGGCGCCGTCTGGTTCGGCACCAACCTGCCCGGCCACTACTCCGGCCGCACCCCACACATCCACATTATGACCCACGTCCCGGGCACCGAGCGCCTCGCCAACGGCACCATCCAGGACAACGTCGCTACCCACGCGGGCCAGCTCTTCCTCGACCAGAAGCTCGTCGATACCTTCCGCAAGCACGAGCGCTATGCCGCCAACGAGCAGACGTTCATCGAGAACAAGCAGGATTACTATTTCCGTCAGGAGGCGAACTTTACGGATCCTGTGATGAGCTATGTTCTGCTTGATCATGAGGATCGTGATATCGAGAAGGGTGTTATGGCTTGGAAGCTTGTGGGTGTGAACATGACCAATGTTCGCGAGATCCACGTGGCTCATCAGTTGGAGGGTTAGTTGGAGAAGGGGTTGGTTCGCTGGTCTTACGGACCGGTGGACATGACATCACTTCGAATCAGTCTTTTGCCTCATTGCTCTTAAAGCACCTCATTAGTAGCTTAGATGGATGGACCTGTCTCATGCTGACCCGACATGGAGATAAATGGCCTTTCCGAGAAAGCATCAATGCATCTATATGCGTTACCCCAATGCTACCTTTGCGCCTGTAAGAATGAATTCGATGTAAAATCAAGCATAAAATTTTACTGCCACTCGACTTTCTTGTCAAAGTCCAAGAAGCCTCGAATAATGATGATCTCATCCCTGTATGCAATAGCCACACTGTCTTTGGACACCGTCCGTATCAAAAGATCGCCTGTACGCCAGAAAGAGGGAATAAAGAGGTGCTGTGTATATGATTTCGCTCGTTCAAAACTTTTGAGACTGAAAGAACTGATCCACCCGCCCCGTGTCAAGAATATGACTGCGGAACGAGTGATCCCCAGAATAGCCTTCACGCTCCCGAGAAGACTGCTGACGGTGCAAGAGACGGATACTTGCTTGGAAGCAGTATGAATATCGCTACTAGTGAGTAGAAGGAATGTGCTCTTGTTTTCTGCTTGTAGATGGAAAGCTTGCACCATGGTGTTGAACTCGACACGGGAAAACCATTTGTTCGTCAGTGTTGTATCCTTGAAACCTGGTGGCAGAACCATGGAGATAGGGGAGAAAGAAGCATTCGATCTGAGATCATCCCAACGGAAGGGTCGTACAGTGCTCTGTTCTAAAAGAAGTAGAAGAGACTTGTCAGTCGGATGCTGCATCCATTGACTGCTTTCTGTAGAGAGCTGACTTGGTGAAAACGGTTCCGGGGGAGTCTTGTTTTGCCACAGCTCTTCACCTCTCTGTGTAGAGAATAAAACAGCAAGACCATTTGGTTCAATAATTGCTTGTGACACCGATGAAGACGCCCGAGAGTTGAACACAACATCTTGTTGATACCAGGGATTGTGGTGTTTAAGATGAGGAGATATGCGCATTCCAATGCATCTCGTTGATGCATCAACGCTTACCAAGAGATTGACCTTTGGGTTCCACTCGACTACGCGAATGCTTGCGGAGTGATGCTTGAACTCGACAATCTTCTGTCCGTCTTTGACATCGTGAATCGAGACGGACCCGTCTTCTCTACCACAGAAAACATGTTTGTCATCACCCATGGGTGTCAATACAGTGACAAACTTGGCCTCATCAAAAGGCCTGGTAACAGATCTTTGAAAATTGCTGTCGTCTGGGATGTCATCTTGGTCGCTGGACGTATCGTCAGTCGCATTCTGCCTAAGTAGAACAGAAGGCTCCCAGACATTGCAAGAGCGCCCCCGGACATCGTAGAGCCTGAGGGTGTTGGAGGAGAATATGATGCCAACCACAGTCTCTTCAAGAAGCTCAAGTCGATGTAACAACTGAAGAGAGTCGAAGTTGAAGAGCGACACTCCTCCTTCGGTATCTCCGGCCGCCAGGATCATGCCATCCGGCGAGCTGGCGAGCACTCGCGAGTGCAGACTGACCGAGCCGACCTGGTACCACCGGTCTTCATCAAAGTGAATCACAATGATATCCCCATCTTGATATGCGACGGCCATCAGGCCAGATTCTATTGCGGGGTTGAAGACAACATCCAGAATTTGGGGTGGACGTAACTTTTCGGAGCCCTTCTTCTCTATGCGAAATAATCTCTCGAGCTTGTCTTCCTCGTTAAGGTCGAAGAGAGTCAGGTGGGAACTGCGATACGTGACAGCTGCGTAGCCGAGAAAGGGGGAGAAGCGGACAACCTCTGGGCAAAATCTGTCGAGGCTTTCGTGATGATCGTCGGAGTCGGAGTCAGATCTGTCTTCGATAATGCAGAGCGAATCAAGCTGTTCTCCGTCCCGGGTCGAAAAGGTAAGGACTGCCTGCTTGACATTCCCATTCCCTTTCAACGTTACAAAGACTTTGGAGTCGTTGGCATTGAACGAGACGGAGAACGCTGTGCTTCTGATCTGCTTTTGCCAAATACCATCAATGTCATGTCGCCTTGACGGACTCTTGCAGTCCTTGGAAGGATCACGAGACACTACAGCGGGTATCTCATTGGTTACCGAGCTGTGCCACATTTAACCAGGCGAACCACCCTACTGGAGGAATCACCAGTCCTTTGAAGGCAGTGACGCCTTTCTCAAAGTCCGAGGCGGCTGGGGTGAATAATTGAATGCGGGGAAACTGTCTGATCTTCCCCTTGCGGCTCAATCACACCGAAATCGACCCATACTTGCAGCATAGCCTGCTTCGCGGTCCATCACGACAGACAGAAGCCGATGTACTACGTGAGCTGTAATTTCTTTTCGTCGCGAGAGTTGGTAGCCTGAGTCTCAAGGTGCAAGCACAAAACTTTTCTCAGGCCCACCGAGGCAAACCACCGATGATATTTCCAAAACAGTCAACCAGCGATATTGAGACCCCGAGAACTTGCGGCCATGGCCAGCGACCGTGTAGAAGTGGCCGTGGATGAGAATCTTCTTGCGGGTTAGCCTATTGTATCCATGACTAATGATAATATGCTGAGGTTTGACATAGAACTTCCTAAGGACGGCAAGGTGATCGAGGCAACATCTCTGGGACTGAGCGACTGGTGCGATACCACACAGTACAACGTTCAACTTCCAGATGGGAGCATTCGGAGATTCTTTGAAAAGGCATGATTTCAAGTTATCTCAGTACTCGTAAGCTCAACATTCCCTGACTGGTGTCACAGAAAGCAAGAGGCGAGGGGGGCTTAGAACAGATTCGAGCACACTGGCACTCCGAAAGCAGCGTATACAAGTTCATCCCCGAGTACATCCCTCGACCAGTCGCGTTCAGGGAGTATGCATCTCAGCCGAACACTTATTTCCTCCTTCTGGAGTTTGAGGACATGATTGACGATGACATCCCACCTCCAGAGACATATATGGCGGTCCCAAGTGCGCTTCATCTCCGCAGTGCAGGGAAATCTCCCACAGGGAAGTTTGGATTCCCAGTGAATACTAGTTTTGGCAACCTGACACAACCCAATGGCTGGGAATCTTCCTGGGAAGTATGGTGGACGACTCATATGAAGTTCCTGTTGCAAAGGGAAAGAGTCATTCGCGGCGCCTACGCCGCCGAAGATGAGACAACATTGAATTTCTATCTGGATACAGTGCTTCCTCGTTACTTGCGTCCCTTGGAGACAGAAGGCCGCTCTATCAAACCAACACTCTGCCACACAGATCTCTGGCCTGGAAACGTCAAGTACAAGCTGGACAACGAAACCATCATTGTATACGACGCAAACGCCCTATGGGCCCATAACGAAAGTGAGTTGGGAGAAAGTTAGATCTGTAGTGCTATCGAACGTGATACTGCCGGAACTGACATTTGTGAAGTTGAGTTGGCCCCATTCCGCAACCCAAGATATCCACTTGGGAAGGCATACTTTCAAGAGTACTGGAAGCATGTACCAATTTCCGAACCTGAAGAAGATGCCGAAAGCCGCATAATCATCTACCTCATCCGCCATCAGGTCTGCCTCGCCAGCCTATACCCCACTGAGCTGAAGTTGAGAGATGCGTACGTTGAATATGAATTTGCTCCTCGGCCACGAGTTACAATCGCGAAGTGCTTACAAATATTCCATAGATTCCTCAGCAATATGCGTCTTCTAGGTGATAGGGTTAAAGACGAGAGTCAAGAAGGGAAAGGATGTTGAGAGAGCTCAGGTTTCCTTTGAGTCCCAGATCGCTGCACCAGTTCCAGTTGGTTTGGTGTAGTAAACATTCAGTATTTGAGAAATCGATGTTTGAGGGAATTGAACTGATGAAGCGTTTCACCGACATTCAATTGAAGAGATGTGATCAATTTTCAGGTTGTCAGATTCAATTCCTGCATGTGATGTTGCCATGTTGCGGTTGCAGCCACAAACCTGAGGGTCAACAACCAACTGTCTGTCATCTGCTGTGCAACGAGCTCATTTCGTGTGATTGGTTGCTACCCCGCCTCCCAAGAAATGACGGCTCTGGCTTTTCCGTGACATGAAGAGCAAATTTCTAACACTAATGACGTTTTTCCAGGACAGAGCAACTGTCTTGTTGCTTACCTACCTCGTATCCTCAACAGCTCGCGCTCCAAAGTCGTTTTCTGAGTTAACTGAAGGCTGAAGCTTCATCAACTCTACCTAGACGAAATGGCCCGGGTCAACGATCTTGAAGGTACCGATGGTATAGTACCTCTGGAACCTATCCTTACATCCCATCCAGACGCTGAGCTCGAGAACGAGGACGTCAACGAAGACGAGCTTTTTACGGTTTTTACCAAATGGCAGAAACACTGGATCAGCCTCAGCGCATCGTTTTCGGCCATGTTTTCTACCATGAGCAGTTACATATACTATCCGGCCATTGTTCCCATCTCTCGAGATCTTAGGGTGTCGGTCTCCCTGATCAATCTTACAGTAACCTCGTATTTGATTATCGCCGCGATTGCACCTGCCTTTATGGGGGATATGGCTGACCAAAGTGGCCGGAGACCAATATTCCTCTTGATGTTCGTCTTGATGATTGGAGCAAATGTTGGGATTGCTCTCCAAAGTTCATTTCCTGCCCTACTGGTGCTTCGTATGCTCCAGAGCTCAGGTGCTTCTGGTGAGGATCAGTGCCTGACTATCATGTGCCCAGATCGTCTCTGACACCGAGTAGGGTTGACTGCCATTACCTACGGTGTTATATCGGACATTAAATTGCCGAAAGATAGGGGAGGTTTCGTTGGTGTATTGTTACTCTTGTAGGTTCATCATTTGTCTTTACAGACTGGCTACAGGAATACTTGCATTGACGCGTGCGCAAGTACAGACATTGCCCCTAGTCTTGGACCTGTGATTGGAGGCGGCATAACTCAAGAGCTTGGATGGAGATGGATATTCTGGTTCCTGACAATTATTATTTCAATTACAGCTCTTACCATGCTGTTTTTCTTCCCCGAGACGCAGCGCAACATCGTGGGAAATGGCAGCGCCAACGCTAGGGGCATTTACTGGAGCTTCTTCACTCTGATCAACAAGAGCCCCCAAAGGAAAGACGGAGGAGCATTGAGAAGTCAAAATTCCAGGCGACACTGGCCAAACCCGTTCGCCTGTCTGCCGATCTTGAAAGACCGCAGCTCACTCGTAGTGATACTCCTGTACGGCATCACATATTCCGTGAAAATGACGCTGCAAACATCGCTGGGTGCCCAGTGTTCGGAGATCTACAAACTAGACTACCTGACTGCGGGATTGATATATATCCCTTCCGGGGTCGCCGGAGGTATAGGATCATTTACAACCGGTTTGATATCCCTCTATTCTTAGACTACGTAGTATGGGCTGACGGATGAGATAGGGAGAATTCTCAATCGGAATTACCGAGCAGCAACAAGCAAGCTATCAGAAAGTAGCGACCAAAATGGCATTGCGCCCTCTGAAGTACAGATTGAACAAGTCAGATTGAAGGGCTTGAACTTTTTAGTCACTATAAGCGCGTTAGGAACTGTTGGATACGGTCTCGCGCTCATGGCAAAAGCGGTAAAACTGCTCGTAATCTCAAGTCACAACATGGCGCTGATATGGTCTAGCACATGGCTGTCATGATTATAATGCAGTTTATCACTGGAATCACCACTGCTAGTCTGTTCACGGTACGAAGCTTATTACAAATCTAAAATGGAATGAACGAGGCTCTAACCAAAACACCTAGATGACAGGAACACTCTTAACCGACCTCAACTGCGAAAGATCTGCTACAGCACAGGGTGCGTCCAGCATAGTGAGATGCTTGGGAGCGGGTGCGGGAATTGCAGCACTACAACCACTCGCCGATGCTGCGGGGTTGGGCTGGTGTTTTGCTATCTATGCGTTGTTCCTTGCCACTGAGTTGCCTTTGGCTTGGATCATTCGCAAGAAGGGACCGGGTTGGAGGAAGCAGCGCAGACCTTGATGAGACGCAGTCTTGTCGGCATTTGCTTGGGGCAAGGCTTGGCTTCTGGATCGATCACCCGACTGTTGCGCACCAACCCAGACAAAGGAACTCCCAACTATTAGAAAGTCATATCTAGTAGACAGACGACTTGGAGAAACAACCGTGTTCTCGATGCCTAATCTTTGTGATGTCTGAACTTTGCCTCGACAGCAACGATTCCCATCACCGCCATCGAGACGCTAATTGTTATGAACACTATGGCAACCCAGAGGCAGCAGTGCCTCTCGTTGGCCCTGACCTCGCGCGCCGACGTGAACTTGTCGCACGTCTCGCAGTGTTGGTGCGGCTTGAAGGGGTTGAAAGGGGCCGACGGATCTGGTCCCGAGTGATCGTGTGCCAGCTCGATATCGCGCTCGTCGTTCTGCGGGATTGTCGCGTAGGCTGAGGCTGATCCTGATGGAAGAAACGCGTTTACGGGATGCTCGTCGTGGAAGCCGTGCTCGTCGTAGGCTGGTGCCGCCTCGGAGGGTGATGCTTTTGAGGGTCCCATTGCAGTTGCGTCTTTCTGGCTCTCTGTGATGATGGACTCGCGATCGACTTGTGGGTATCTTATTGTTACCTTGCGTCAAGTCTAAGTATGATAGTTTTCTACCTTGGCGATGTCAGACGGATTGATGTTGGGCCTTGTGAGGCCCACCAACAGTGTGGCTGCCGCGTCAGCATCTTCAGCCACAGCATTCCGGTCATTGTATTGGTCGATTTACGCCTCTTTTCTGCACAGAGGGCTGAAACCGTTTTTACATTTCAATCACGCCGCAAATGCTGCATGCAATTGAGGGGGATGATGGCTCGGTGTGGCCGTGCGACGCGCGGGCAATGCTCAAGACGCACACTAGGTTAGTCACTGGACCGGACTGTAGTGCCAACGCGCCTGATGTCATCCTTCTCTTGGGCCTGTCAGCTTCCATTGGTCATAACCATCATCCAGCTGTCCTAAATCAACGCTGAGCACCACGTGATGCCGGCGATGGAGGGAGCATGGGGCTCTTGCATCAAGTTCCTCTCGCCTTCAACGACGGTATTGTTGGAGGGGGAGACGGGGCGTAAATAGTAACGGTTCTTGACCTCCACGTGCTGGAGGAATGCTGGAGCGTCTTGGAGTAAGACTAATTACTAAGCGAGAAGTGGGCGATAACGTGGGGTTCCATACACATTTCTGGGGGAGGCAGATTGAGGTGGACTCAACTTTCTAAGAATGAGATGAACTGGAACTTTTGAGTAACCTTGACATACATAGCGGGCAGTAGTTAAGCCGTGCAATTCACATGAGCGAATTACTCGTCTCGCAATCTAGCATCTATCGAGCTTTCTTACCTTGCATCGCATCACTCAAGGTCGTGATTACGCGACATCCCGCACTTTGCAATACGATATCACCGTAGTACCTCCCAGGCAGGTCCTAATGCTCGCGAGCCTTTGATCCCTGTTGATATGCCGGGGATGTCGGACTTTTTGTTTCTCTCCCGCTCTGCCGCGTTTGTATCGATCCTCCAGGCTCCAGGCAAACAACCCGCCCAACGCCGCCCCGAGAGTCGCTAAGCTTGACAAGCTTCGCCAAGCTAGCCCAAGCTTCGGCTGCATCGTGCGCCCGAAGCTTGATCTATCTGGGGCCCTGTCTGCTCCCACGACACTAAGACACAATGATCGAATCACGAACGCGCCGCGAGGGCCGTTGGAGCTTCATTGTCGATCTGCGGGACCGGCCTTAACCTTAAGAGGAAGGTGACAGTTCGTTCCCGGCTGCGTCATCTTACAACTTTTATGCGGCCTTCAAGAGCCGAACACGCGATTGATACCCAGAAGTGCCAGGTTCCTCTGCGCCGTTGGTCACTAAGAAGGACACATGAAGTTTACATGACACCGAGACTCGGCCAAGGCCAATCAGGCTTATCAGTACAAGCTCATTACCAAATGACCTCAAGGTTCAAGGTAATCTGAACACGGCTTTTCTCGATATGAGCTTTCCAAAAGGCCTAGATGAGTCCAAGGTACCTTTGGAGGAGACCGGCTAGCAACGCTTTCTCGCATGCCGAACAACCGACCAACGTACCATGAACCAACGATCAACATTTGCCTGGACCCACTGCCGGTCAATCATCGAGAAGTGACCCATTATATCAGGGGACTTTTGGGCACTTTGGACCTTCTCCTTCTGCCTATGGTAAGCGTCAGGGCCTTTGTGAAGTGATGCCGTCATATACGAAAATGTTGAAATACCGCGGCCGGGCCAGCTCTGGTCGGAGTAGAAGTCTTCACTCGCTTGCAGTCTCTCCCCAGTCAAACTAAGATGAAGCTCCTCAACCTCTTCAGCGGGCTGCTTTGCGCCTCTTCTGCGCTTGCTTTCAAGAAGCCGACCAAGCCTACGCTTCCGAGGTCCATTGTCGAGAGGCGCGCGGCCAACCAGCCCTTCTCTCACCCTGAGATTCAGAAGCGCGCCTCCCAATTTTTGACGGAGAAGACTAAGGGTGAGTAATTGGCGGGCATTGAAGCTCTTGGTCGCCAAGCTGACTTCTCTCCAAGCCTTCGCTGTCAATGGCACTGGTATTCCCGAAGTGCCCTTCGACATTGGCGAATCCTACGCTGGATTGCTCCCCATCTCCGACAGCCCCGACGAGACTCGCGAGCTTTTCTTCTGGTTCTTCCCCTCATCAGCCGCGCAGACCCCTGAAGAGGTGGTTATCTGGTAAGATGGCAAAATAATAGTCGGATCTGAAGCAACCCGCTAACGTGCGACAGGCTCAATGGTGGACCAGGATGTTCCTCTCTTTCCGGTTTCCTCACGGAGAACGGCCCATTCACTTGGGAAGCGGGCACGCTTGCCCCCGTTCAGAACCCCTACTCATGGACCAACTTGACCAACATGCTGTGGGTCGAGCAGCCCGTCGGTGTTGGCTACTCCCAGGGAGTACCCAATATCACCGATGAGGTCCAGCTTGCGACCGAGTTCCGCGGTTTCTACAAGAGCTTCATCGACACCTTTGACCTCAAGACCTGGAAGACCTACATCACTGGAGAGTCGTACGCCGGATACTACGTCCCATACATTGCTGACGGTTTCATTTCCGCCAACGATACCGACTACTTTAACCTGGCCGGTATCTCGATCAACGACCCCATCATCGGCGACGAGACCATTCAGCAGCAGGTTGTCATCCTCCCCTACGTCGAGTTCTGGAACAACCTCTTCTACCTCAACGAGACCTTCATGGAGCAAGTCCGCGACCGCCAGGACTCGTGCAACTACTCCTCCTACCTCGACACCTACTTCCAGTTCCCGCCGCCCCAGGAGCCCTTCCCCGTCCTGCCCGATCCCTACAACAGCGATGTCTACGCCTGAGACATGTTCGATACCTTCTACGAGGCCATCATCGAGGTCAACCCCTGCTTCAACATCTACCACATCACCGAGACCTGCCCGCACCCATACTCCCAGCTCGGCATCGTGAACAGCGGCGACTACACCCCGCCTGGGGCCGAGATCTACTTCAACCGCACCGACGTCAAGAAGGCGCTCAACGCACCCCTCAACTCCAATTGGCAGCAGTGCACCAACGTCAACGTTTTCGGAAACGGAACTCGTCGCGGCTCTGACCAGTCTAACGGCCCCGCCATCACTGGTGCCCTGCAGCGCGTTATCGAGTTCACCAACAACACCATCATCGGCTCTGGTGACCTCGACATGCTTCTCAGCACCAACGGTACGCTTTTCGCGATCCAGAACATGACCTGGAACGGCGCGCAGGGTCTGTCGGAGTACCCCACTACGCCTCTCATCGCTCCTTACCACCCCGAGTACAATGCTGGCGCGCTTGCCGGCGCCGGTATTCAGGGTGTGTGGACCGCCGATCGTGGATTGACCTTCTACACTGCTCGTCTTGCCGGCCATGAGCTGCCCGGATACACTCCTGGTGTCGCGTACCGCATGCTCGAGATTCTGCTCGGAAAGATTGACAACTTCAGCAACACTGATGACTTCACTACCCAGACTGGTAACTTTACCGGGAACGGTACCATTTACAAGAGAAACCACTAGACGGATGGTTATAATGATGATTGATTCATCTAGGAGGTTGAGGATGATGCCACAATCAGACTAGAGAGATTTATAGTAATAATGTCTACCCATGATCAAACTTTTGACCCTATCCTACGTTGCCTTCTAGACAAGGATGTTTTTGCAAATTTGATACTAAGAATCAGATATCAGCCACACATTTGCCTTACTTCTCTTACCCCGACTGCCGACGTCCGATTGATCGAAGCGTGGAGGAGTGACATTAGCATGGGATCAGGCCTAAGCATTGAGCTCACCTGGCGCAAATGCACTTGACCCTACCAAGTGCACCCCATCCACCCAACATTGCCGTAACGCCTGTGAACAAGATAATGCCGCCATATTGTCCGCTATACCCCCAGCCCTTGCCATCTCTTATCCACCCATCCCCAGTTAGTAGAGCTACGCTTAATGGCCCGCTAATCACGTTGCCGATTCCTCTCCCACCAGCCAACAACCCAAAGATGAACCCCGTATCCACCGCCGGGCTCTCAGCCTTCAACTCAGACAGCACTCCAGACCAGGTAGAACTGAACCCGCCGGCGAAGAAGCCGTATGTGATGCTGAAGACAGCCAGCAGCGCTGTCTGACTCGAAAATCCCCAGAACAGAAATACTGCGAGCGCGGAACCGATGGCCGATATGAGGATCACGGTGGTGACGCGGAGGTGGTCTCCCAGGCTGCCCATGACGATGCCGCCGGGGATTGAGGTGACGTTGATGAGGACGAGCAGGGTCGTTGCTACAGTTGTAGAGACGTGGAGTTGTTGGACGGCGTAGGTGGAAAGGTACGTGTAGGGGAGGAAATAGCCGAGTGATTGGAGGACGTTGCCGATTTGGAGCATCCAGAAGGAGGGGAGCTGGATGAAATTGAGGTTGATTCGGCGTACGGCGGAGGACTGGGAGACGGGAATACGTGGTTTGAGGAAGTAGAGGAGGGGCGCCGAGATGAGAACCTGTGCGCTTGTGAGTAATATATTCAGCGCTTGCATGAAAATGGACGAGTAGTACCGTTGCAACACTCCAAGCTCGGAGCGTGACTACTGGTCCGAACTTCTGCAGACAGGTTTCCATGGCGAAGGGTAGCCCGACGCCAGCTGCAGATTTTCCAGCCCACATGACTCCGTAAGCCAGGCCCTTTCGCTTGACAAACCACTCATCCAGGTACAAAGTCGTTGGAGTGAATAGTAGCCCGCAGCCTAGGGCACATATGACACCTTGCGTTGCGATCAACTGCCACACCGTAGTCGCAAAAGTGGATAAGAGGAAGCCGGTCGCGGTGAGGAGCAGTCCAAGTGGGCCGAACCAACGGCGTAGACGGGGCCATCTACTCAAGATCGTGAACGTGAAAGGGGAGATGAGGTACATGATGCCCTGACCTCGTCAGTACATCCAAGTGATGATACGGGAGTGGATTCATGAGCATACCGTCAAGGTGGTCCCAATCACTGCAATATTGCTGGTATCGCCCTCAAGCTTGTCAGGGTGACTGCCGTAATATTCCTGGAAGACACCAAATGCGAGGGAGTACCCTACAGAGTCCAGAGTCAGATATCTTCTCCTTAGCGGTTGGAGTGAGGGGCACACGAGTTCACCTACCCCACACGGGAAACTGGATCAGACTGCATCCGAGCAAGACAAGCCATGCCTCCTTTCCCCTGTCTGCGGGCGGCAATGGCGCCTGTTCAATCTCATTCTCGCTTTCTTGCTGTGTTACCGCTGGACTGGCTGTCAATGTGCGACCGCGCAAGTTTATTGCCTCGGGCTCGAAGTCCAGATGTTGGTGGTTCATGATGGCTAAGTGACATCAGGTGTGGTTGCTGCCGCCGAATGATGGTGATGCTGGTAACTGAGAGCGCGTACTTGAAAGAATCGCGAAAACATTTGGCAGGGTGAGTCACAAATGAAGAAATTCAACATGTCGTTGGAAATCAAGACTTAAAAGTCATGATCGGCCGGCATACGGAGGCTGATTGGCTCAAGATAAGTAGTGAGGCTACACTTGCGACTAGGCTGCGGGGTCAGCACCAAACATTCTGTTCAACATATTGAGAGGACCATTGTCCTACCTGAGCCAATAGAAGGAGTGTCAGTAAGAAGTAGTCGTACTGACATGATACTACTGATACTGATCTTTGCCATATGCACATGTTAGAAGATGGAAAGGCGATCACTCAAGAATTGGATAGATTGGAGCCTATTATACGTTTGGGCGACACCCTATTGCCGTGGATGAAGTCGAGATCTTGGTGATGGTGAAACTTTCGAATAGATACCTGTTCCATTGTCGATGGTGAGGCGAAGCAGTATGACCCATGAAAACCAGGACTTGACTTGTGGTCTAAAAATAGTTCTCTAACCGGGCGCATCGCCGTCGCCGCTTCCACTTGTCTCGCCCGATCTAATCAGAGCTACAATGCATGTTGTAGTTGAGGTCCGGATCGGAGCTAGGTGGGCTCAAAATCAGCCCAAAAACAATCACGACGAATAAACACCAACTTACCCATCAGAGGGAATGATAATCTGGCCCTGTGGCGTCCACGTTTGCTCACACACCGGTCTTTCACCGCCGCAACTTCTACATATCTTCTTGAATGCATATGCTGTATCCTAGTCAGTATCTTGAACACGAAGCAGGTAGCAAGATTCCTTCCAAAGCTTACCTGATCCGACATACTTCTGGAACCAAAGACGAATTCTCTTATTGGGAGCAGTCGTGCATTGGAAGGTTCCCCCATGGGTCCATTCGTCCGTTGTATTCATGCCCAGTGCAATGCTTAGCACAGATTTAATGGGCCTCCAGTCAGGAGTAAGACTGATCCTCCTCTTGACGGAAACTTTCTCCTCCCAGGGGATCGCCACAGTCTCGGGGTCGCCGACGAGCCCAACATGCTGCATCTTGGAAGCTGCCGTATACGAACTCCAGTATGACTTGACATCGCGAAGCTCCCATTCGTCCCACATGAAGCAGTGATTCTCTGCGGTGGTCTCTCCATCCGAAGTCGGTCCGTTTCGGAAGCTGGTCATTGGGATGAAGGTGTTGAAGTTACGGATGTAGATTGTATCTGCTGTGCCAGCGCGAGACACCAACATCCCCTTTACATCGTTCAAGTCGAAAGACTAGGAGATTAGGTGAGTCGGGTGCTTCAGGTGCATTCGCAATCTCATTTCTTTGAAGTCGATATTCTTGACCCGAGGTGGCGCGGATCTCTCGACGAGGTTGGCAGGAGTCCCGATTGCCAGGCCAGCAACGGCCAAAAGAGCGGCAAGAAAGCGCATCTGAGGGCGCCTCCTAGTTTGGATTCTGCCTGATTAATGTTGTAAGATGGGAATTTTTGATGGCTGACGATGCTGGCTACAACATGCAGATGGCAGTGCTTCTCCGAATCGAACAGAAAGCCGCATTCCGACAAGTGTACATAGGATAAAATGAGATTGAAGAGTATCTCCGGCACCCCGGAATCAAGCTTTTCTGAAAGTGAAGCCCTAGGGCAAGGCAGGTGAGGGCATGTACGACCCCCGCGACCAAGTTTCCCACGCTCGGTCAACGAGAACATATACGGCACGATGTGATAAACTTTATTGTGACCAATTGACTAAGCCAATATTACGGTACAGTTGCCGCGACTCTAGCAAGGTTCGAAAAATAGAATGGCGATGATGGTATGACGTATTGACCCCTATGAGTACATGTAAGGAGCGCCTCAAGCGCTGTTGCTGAAGGGTCTAAATGAAACACTAAGAATACATGTCCTATTATGGTCTCTCATCTCATCAAGTGAGCCCGCGTATTGGGGACATCTGCATTGCTGATATAGCTTCATAAGCTTGGGTGTTGCTGTGTGTTGTTCACGTTGGCAAAGGCCTGTTATCTTTATAGGAAGACTATCAATGGAGTCTAACAAAATTCCAGATTTCCCAGCGTTTAGTGGGCTCGAGCATTTGAATTGAGTTGACCCAGCATCATTCAGAGAGATGGGAGTTCAAGAATTGAACAACATCATCCATTCCTGAAGGTGAATTAAACCAATGCCCTCCTTCTTGATACTCTTTCCACTCAACTTGTGCACCAAACCTACCCACGGTGTCCCTCAAGATACGGCCATTGGCAACCAGCACCAGGGGGTCGTCAACACAATGCTCTAGTAAGATGGGAGTATGTTCCAGAAGCGCACATCCTTCTGGGACATCCTCAAGCCCGAGAATTGCCCGGGTATCGTTGAGATTTCTCCCAGGGAACGGCATGCGGCAGGAAAAGCCGACAAAGGCTCCGAGTCTGGATTGCCCCGGTGGGAGTCGTAAATTGAGTAGAGTATGGACGCCGGCTGCTGCGCCTTGACTTATTCCAGCCAGAATGATGCGGTTCCACTTGCCTCCTAGCAGCTCCGCCTCTGTGGTGAGGATCTCTCGGATGGCGGCGACGCTGTCTCGGAGCCCCTCAGCTTGATGCTCTTCGTGATCGGCAAAGTTGTTTACGTTCCAAATGTCAAACCATTGCGAGACCTTATCGCCGAGCGCCATCGCCTTTCCTATTTTTGCTTGAGGAAAGACCCAGCGAAAAGATGGGAAAGCGTCTGCCAGAGTGCGATCTTGTGAGTCGCTGGAGTAATTTAGTGACTGCATGAAGTTCTTTGCATTGTCGCCCCGCCCATGCAAGAAGACGACGGTATGGGTGTGGGTTGTTGATGGTTGATAAATGAGTGGAGAAGACATCGCGAGCTTGATGGAGCTACGATTGAAGTGGGAACGCGAGTGTTGAGTGGTGTTTATGGAGTGAGAGAACTGAGCAAGTGGCTGAGTGGCGCAGGGAGAATTGACGGTCTTAATGCATCTGATCGCCAAAGCCCAGGCAACAATGGCGACTGGTGCCTAAAAGGTCGAGGCCAATACAATGGTGGCTACTGTTTACACCGTTCGAGTTGATCCAACCAACGACTTTTAGCCAACGTTCAGTCTCTCCCAAACTTACTTTTTTTACAAAGCGTGCGGGATGTATACAAAGAACGGAAGTTTTCGACATGCCCAGACTTATGAATTCTTGAGCAACGTAAATACATGATGTTTGACCGGTCTTCAGAGAGTTCAGGCAGTCCCAGTAAGCCCCCCGATAAATTCCGAAAGCATGCAATCACCACTATTCAACCATGAAATCCTCAAATTCTGCCCACTGATCTCCGGTAGAGCCTGGTGTGCTGTTCGAAATGGCGAAGATGCCGTACAAAGTGCCCGTCATGTCGTAACCCGAAAGCAGGACGGGGTCAACGTTTCCTAGACTTTGCCACTGGGTTCCTTCTCCAGAACTCTTGACTCTCCAGAGGAATCCGTATTCGTCGGGCTTGGTCTGAATGCGGAGCTCGATTTCCCTAGCAGACTTGGGTATGGCAGCCGAGCCTAAATCGATCGACTTGGGCTTCTGATCTTGGATTGCCACCAGAATGGAAGATATCTTGCGCTCTTGCGGATCAATCTGGATGACTGCATGCCGCAGACTATCCTTGTATACCGTTAAGCCGACCAGTGGTAGTCCTTCAGACCCTTTGGAAGATAGACGTATCGTCGTCGAAGCTGATCCTAAGTGAGATCTTTGCCTGCGGCCAACGAACGTGGATGTGCCTGATGGGCTAGCTAGGGTCGAGGTCTGAGCGCACAAAGAATGGGTATTGTCCTTGGCAGAGTACGAGTAGTTTTGAGGAATGGGAGTCCGGATGTAGAGGTCTTCAACTTGCCGATTCAGATCCTTGAAGACACCGTGCTGTCCGGCGTTCGATCCATCTTCTAGGTCAAGATCTAGGCTCAGCTTTGTCTGAGAAATTCTGGGCCATGCATCCTTGGGCCAGTCAACCGAAGTGAGAAAAGTTTCGCGGCCTAGTGGATGGCGTTGAATACTGTCATCATCATGTCGTATTCCTAGGTGAACGCAGAACCAATTTCCTCTAGTGTCTTGGAATAGATCACCATGGCCAGTCCAATGAACGGCTTCGTCTTTCTCGAATGCAGTCAATAAAGGGTTGTTCGGACAACCCTCGTAAGGTCCCCACATATCTTTGGATCTCGCCATGTTGATCTGGTGACCCTCAAAGGTCGAAGATTCGGCGGTCAACAGATAGTACCAGCCGTCTTTGAAGTAAATGTGCGGCCCCTCAGCATCATCTTTGCCGGCGGCACCCTTCCAGAGAAATCTCGTGTCTGACAAGGCTGCACCGGTCTCAACGTCGATTTCGAACTGGCGAATTGAGCAATCTGGTGCCCATGGAGGTCCAGTTCGATAAGAGCCGTGAAGATATGCCCTTCCGGATATCTCATCGAAGAATAATCCTGGATCAATACCCGGGAACTCGAATGGCACTGCATCTGACCATCCATTCTCTGAGAATATCATGTCTTCGTGACAGCTAAGCAGGAAGTTCTGGAACTCGTGTGCTCCATCAGGCTTCTCCCAAGCATATGTACACACAACATAGAACTTGTTTTTGAAATGACGGAGTGTTGGTGCGAACAGACCGCCGGTGATTATGAGTGGGATGCCATGAGGCAGAGGGATGAATTTGGTAAAGGCGCTGGATAGAGACAGCTGAGTGGTTCGACATAGGGCATGGCCCTTCAACTCCCAATCCACAAGGTTTGTAGAAGTATAGATGGGCAACCCAGGGAACACGTGGAAAGAAGAATTGACGAGGATGTAAGTGCCATTGTGGACGACTATGGTTGGATCAGGAGCGAACCCAGGGATGATGGGGTTGGTAACCTTCATTAGGACGCTGTCTAATGTTGCTCAAGCTCGCTGAAGTGTTACTTGAGGTGGTTGAGGATAGGGTCTTCTGACTTAGATCCGGGGGCTAGAAATCCGTAGACAATACAACTCATACAACACAGGCACGACATTGAATAACCTTATCATGTCGGCAAGTCCGAGGTGTATGTAGTCAGTTTCCGACTCGGACTCACTTCTCCCGAATCTTCCACTCCCCCGTTTCCCCGGATGTTCCACTCGCATGTCCAAAGTACGTCCACCCGCCGTCCACCCAGGCCTACCCCAATCCACACCAACGTCCACCCAAAACGTCCACCCAAGCTAGACACATCAATGATACCCCAGATTCCCCCCGCCATTAGCTTCCCCGGAAAATCCATAATTCATTGGATATCCTGCATGTGCAATTAGCTAAGGAATGTGGTTCTGCTTGCATTTAATGTCAAGTGGAAGTCGAGCCCATCCTTGCTGAAAATCTGTGAACAATGTCCCGTAGCCCCTTCAGTCATCGAAACAAACAGAAACATGACTTCACCAAAGGCTGACGACACAAAGATGCAGGACCCGGAGTGCAATCACTTTGAGACAGCAAAGACTGGTACCGGGATTGCAACTGTCGGTGCTGGGACTGGTGAAGACATCATCAACGCAGAAAGGCAGCTCTCGGTCCTTGAGAATGCAAAAAGGCATTGGCGAGCTCTGCTCATAGGTAAATACTTTAATCCATGCAACCCAAAAACTTCTCTAACAGTCATGAAGCTTCCGTAGCCTTTTCCGCCGGCATCGTCTTCGCCTACGACACAGTCACCAATGGAGCCTCGATCTCGATGCCCTCGTTTCTACTATACTTTGGCGAAATCGGACCGACAGGACCCTATCTCCCTTCCATCTGGACCTCGTTGTGGACTGCAATGTCTTCACTTACGCAGGCCCTTGGTGCCATTTTGGTTGGCTTCGTTTCTGATCGATATGGGCGGAAGTGGCCATCCTGTGCTGCAGCTATTTTGACTTTAGTCGGCGCTGCGGTGCAGTATATCGCTGTGCCGCGTGCAACTCTAATGGGCGGCAAGATGATTTCGGGTCTGGGTATTGGTGCTGTGATGGCCACCGCTACGACGTACATCGGTGAAGTATGAGCAGACTGGAATTCCGGTCCTTTTTAATAAGCTAACTAACAAACTTTACAAGGTGTCGCCTCTGAAACTTCGCGCTCCATTACAGACCTGTTTCGTCATCTTTGTTCTTCTCACCCAGGGTCTGGCATTGGGCGTGATCCGCATATTCGTTCCTGATATTCGAGAGCAAGCGTTCAGGACGGTCATTGCTATCCAGTGGGCCGTTGGTGGCTTAGCTGTTATCACCTGGGCTGTGGCACCAGAGTAAGTGTCAGTTGCCCAGATAAGAATGGCTCTTGTACTAACGCCTGATCTCTAGGTCCCCTATTTGGTTGATCAAGAAGGGCAAGATTGAAGCTGCGCGAAAGGTCATGCATAAGATCTACGGTCCAAATCACCCCGATGAGCGCCTCGAGTATGAGATACAAGCTATCCGCGCGGAACAAGAACTCGAAATGAACAACAACGCTACATACGCAGCATGTCTTCAGGGCCATAACCGGAAGAGGTCTTTGACCGTCGCGTTTCTTTACTCGACAGCCAACATTGGCGGCGCCCCCTTTCTAGCTCAGAACATCTACTTCCTCATTACTGCCGGTCTTGAGGCCGTTCACTCTTTCGACATTGGTATCGGCGGCTTCGCTTTTGCTGTGCTGATTATCATGGCTAGTGGAGCATATCTGCAGCGTATTAGTCGGCGAAACGTCGTGCTGCTAGGCCTCGTGATCAACCTTCTTTTCATGGTTATCATTGGCACGCTTTACTGGGCCACAAACAAGGGCGGCCTTTGGGCAATCGCTGTTTTGATGAACCTACTCATCTCCCTACAGTCGGCGTTCCTGCAAGGCGCTGGTTGGCCTATCGCCGCCGAGATCCCATCGTACGCGCTTCGTGCCAAAACGTTGTCTATCGGCATTTGCGCGCAGACCTTCACGACTTGGCTGTTCAACTTCATCACCCCTTACATGTATAACGTTGACTCTGGCAATCTCGGAGCCCGCACCGGGTTCATCTACGCTGGAACATCCGTGTTCTTGCTGGCAGGGGCTTGGTTTCTTGTCCCAGATACCACGGGTATGACGACGGAGGAAATTGACAAGGCTTATGAGTCTGAACTGACGCCCAGGAGGTTTCAAAAGCACGCTATTCCGGCTCATATGGGCCATGATGGCAAGTCGTTGCGAGATATTTGAGCTAATTTCTGCACCGAAGTTGCATGATTTGAGGGTGCAGTGATATGAAGACAGTTCGACAAGAATGTATGTGCAATAAAATTTGATTACTGCAGAAGGTTTAATATTGCTACTTTAAATAATCTTAACTGCGCTTTCTATGGTATTATGATGTTCGTTGATCGTCATATTCTTGAAGTCTCATTAACTTAATATTACCCTTTCGTTCTTAATATTCTTCGCAACTCCGAATGGTTGTGGCTTTTGCCCGAGTTGCGTCAGACTCCTGTGCAGACCACTCGCATGACCTCTCTCATGAGAGGCCGGCTCTTGTGCATTACCCCATTCGGGAGAGTTGGACGGTATTCCTCCTCTTACAGCACACACGGCGGCAAAATCCAGCGTCGGATAGCCGCATCTCTCTGGCCTCTTTACACAGACCCTTGACGTCGCTATGATGATGGCTAATGATATGCACAGTATTATGCCGGCTACTGTGACGAAAAGCCACCTGCTAACAATTCCTGCAACAACCTGATGACTGAGGATGGAGATGGACAGGGTGGAGTACATGTCCTCTGGTAGACCTTCGCGAGGAGTCTTGAGTTCCCAAATGGACGGGCCAGATGAGAAGTAATTTGCGTGGAAGTAGCTGAATGGCACAGAGAGGGCCTTCCTGACGGCTCTCAATGACTGCTTCTTAGCCACTTCGCTGTCGTTGATCGGTAGCGCTGTGACTGCATAAATGGCTAGTGCTGAGTTGTCGCCCTTTGTAGCTGGGCCGCTCTTGTTAAAGCCTGGGACGACAGCGGATAGCGAGAGCATGTATTCATCGAGACCGATGATGTCCTGCTCTGGTGGTGTCATATCCGAAACGTCGAGAATTGAGAAGTTTCCGCGATCATATGTGACGGTAGCATAACGTGAGTATACGTATAGTGATGATGACAGTTCCAAGGGGTTTGTCCAAGCGGTGTTGTTGATACAGGAACTGGTCAGTTGAAGTGCAATCGGGCAATATGCTGATCCTGAGAGACAGTTGTCAGCTTCGAGATACAAAGCAGTGTGCAGAGCCATTCATGGCTATTCTTACCAAAAAGCAGGCCTTTCTGTTTGCCAACAGCGGCACACCAGTACGAGGCGGCGCTGTCGGCACCAATAAGGAAGCAAGTTCCATTTGTGCGTAGAGCATCGAGATCATGTACTCTCCCATACTCTAATTGAACGACTCGAGTATTGGGGACTACGTATGCCGCAGAGTCCGGGTAGCTCGTCAGGTTGTCTGCTTGAGGCGCAATTGAGACCACACCGCCGGTCAGCAGATGCGATTCGTCACACGGGGCCCATCCGCCGTCATTTCCGGTGCACTTTCCTACGCCCTGGTGCAATGGATCCAGGGAGAAAGAATCTCTGTCGGACCAGGCCGGGCTGCCCATCTGCACCAATAAGGCGGTGGCCGTAGACTGACGAATCTCGTAGATGTAAGAGGCGTTGAAGGGGGCAATTCCGGCAGACACGTTGTATGTCTTTTCGGGGAACGTGACCAGTTCGATAGAAATAGCACCTGAAGACCGTCAACATGGCGTACAGTTACAGTCTTAAATGTGATGATAGCTTACCCATGAGAATGATACCCGGCAAAGGAATGGAGCAGATAACCAACAGACTTTGGAGAATCAGAACGCGTTCACAAGTCTTCACTTAATCTGGCAGAAAAGTAGACTCAAACTCACCGGAACAGACTGGAGTACTTCTGCCTCCACTCGGCAGTTGCCAGAAGTCGAAGCAATCCCCATACTCCCGTACCGGCGTCAAGTCCTACAAAGTGCAACAGACTGACGCCACCGGGGCGAGATGCTAGTGCCCACTGCAAGTCTTCCACAACCACAACCACAAGGGCAGCCAAGACAAGAGCGCAAAGCTCAGTCATCACGCGAAGGATCAGGATCGAATTACTAGGCGATGCGACAAAGAAATTTTGTCTCATTAGAGCCTTTGCCGATCCGGTCGAGTACACGGCCGTTAGCGTCAGCATCAGGACCCCAACAAGCCACAAACATAATGTCCACCACACGAATGGGCTCGTCTTTTTGTCTCCATTCTTGTAGGTTTTAGACGTAAGAGATATCGTGTCGTTGAAGTCGTTGCCCTTATGACTATAGGAACAGTCTTCTCTGTCCGGCGTTGGAGGATGAAGAAAGTTTGTCTGGTTGAATGAAACCGTGGTCTTCAGAGGTGAGGGGTGTGCTGAGGAAGCCTCTTCAACTTTGGCGTACTTCGGCCAGTCACTATGGTTGTCGCCTGCCAGTTCGATGATGCTCCACCTTCGATGATCTTCTGTGTTTTTGCGGTTCGACCAAATGCCTTGTTGTGGAACATTTCGAGGAGCTCTGGCGTGTTGGTTGAAATCGTCGAGATCGATCGTCTCATGTCGCGGCTGTGGAGAAGCCATCGTCATCGTGGGTTCTCGACAGCCCAAAATATGGCTCTTTCTGGCCAAGACGGCCGGAGCGGCAGATGGGGTAAAGAAGTATTGGGATACACAACGACCTGCGTTTGCGCTAGGTATCGGAAGAAATCAAACAATGAACGAGCGTACTACGTAGTATGTAGAGAGCGTAGGTATGTGGTCAGAAAAAACGAAAGATGGGTTCTTGCGATTCTGAGAAACGCGGTATTACCTACAATCATTTCTTGTCCGAAGAGTGAACTCCATCCTGCTGGAGAGCTCCTGCGGGGCTGATCGCGATTACCCCGGCCGACGAGTCAGTTGTTAAGCAGTCGGACTAGCCGCGAGTCGTGAACCCTGAACAACCTCTTTAAATATAGAGAGGCTTGTAGGTAGACCCTAGTCTCGAGAGGGCCTTCCAATCTATCATACTTCTTCCACGCACTAAAGGTTGACACGATCAAACCAGGGATAAAAAGCTCCTCAGGATCCGAGTGATAACAGGAACTCGAGAGGAAGAGAAAGGTCAAACACCACGCCTTTGGAATTTCCTACCCTGGCCTTGGGACCTAGAGTTACCGGATGAATTGTGACGTTGATGTGACATTGTAGCAAACTCGCGACGGTGGCCCACGTGGTTGAGTGGAAAACTAGCACCATGGGACGAAGTGCGAAGCTTTGTAAAAATTGGTAGGATACGGAGGAAGGTCCTTCGCTCCAGTGTAGATAGTTGAGCACCCAATTGGTAGTTCAGCCTTAAAGCTCTGAGCAAGGTATATCCTGCTGCGCGAGGAGCATCGATACATTCGGACTCGTCCGAGCCTGCTTTTCCTAGCTAAGAAGTATTCTTGTTGTCCTGGACAAATCTAGAAGTATATGCAACTAAGGATGCTCATTCTTTCCTGGGTTCCCCCAGCGACACCGTTTGTTGTTTTTGTATTTGCAATGGAAATGACCGTGCTTGGAAGGAATCCTCGTCACTTGTTGACTTGTCTTGCCGGCGGGTGGAAAGACAGCCAAGCCCAACACCACCTTGGGCTCCACTAAGATACGCTCAAATTCACGATGGGACTCGGAATAGCATTTTGCCTAGCCTATTGGTGGTCAAGACTTTCGTTATGGTACATTGGTAAACCTCCCAAAAACCAATTCATTATCACACCCATTTTTAACCTACGGAATCTTGCTATCCAGCTGACGTCAAATGTCTGAGACGGTAAGTTGAAGCTCCCGCCCTACCACGGTGCTAGCGGCTGGCCTCAACCAGCCGCAGGAATCGTTGGGGTAGAATGAGTCGGAGATGACCGTGAGGGTCTGTAGCTCCGCCAAGAGAGCTTTACATAGCCATCAGTTTCAGTTTTCGTAAGGGTCCCCCCCCGGATCTGGACGCAGGGCTAGCCCATGAAACGGACAAGGGTAATGTAGGGACTCCGACTTACCCACTATCCGTCAAGACTCCGGAGACTCAAGCAGAAGAATGCCTCAAAATACAGCTTTGCTAGCACAACTCCAGTTGGCAGAAGAGATTGTCAAGTTGTATCATACAAATGTAGGCTACCAAATCAATCGCGATGCTGGATGCCGTCTATATTGGTACCATGAAATCTACTTGACATGAGTACACCCGGACACTTAAGTGAAGTGCAGTGATTGATGATGTGGATCAAAAGCCCCAATCTTCCCGAATCAGTCTTGCCCCATTCTCGCCTAGCATGTAAACCGGCCCCGCGATGTTGACGTCCGGAACAGTGGGCATGATGCTGCTGTCAACAACCCGCAGACCCTGAACGCCATAGACGCGCAGACGCGGGTCAACGACGCCGCCGTCCTCTAAGGGCAGCATGCGGTTCGTGCCACTAGCGTGCCAATTGGGGACCGTGGTCGCTTTCACGTAATCAAAGATAGCATCATCATCGTCAGAAGCGATGTTCGCAACGCCCGGCGCCACTTCGCCGTGGTCCGGCCCAACGGTCATGTTGGCGAAGGCCGCATGGGCAAGAATTTTCCTCGCGTCGCGGAAGGCATTCACCGCTATGGCGCGATCGGCGGGATGTGAATAGTACTGATGAACTGTTAGCCATCACCACAGGTCAAAGATGAGGCATGGTCTCTGCAGCCGGTTAAGAGGCTGCATAAAGGTGATAAACTTGCGTTGGGGTTGATGATGGGAGCATCCGACATGCCGCTTGACTGAATGGTGACATTGCCCTTGGATAACGCGACCATGCTTGATACTGTGATAGAAATGTACGACCCATCTGCTGAAGGTTCGTACGTCGGGCCTGGGCTGTTGGGATAGAAGAAGGACTCAAAGAGAAACTCGACAGTTGAGCGGTTGGTGAGACCCGCCTCAATCACCGCGCCGGCGCCGATTGACTTAAGCTGCTCACTGGACAACTCCTGGAAGCCGTTCGTGATGCCTCCAGGGGCCGTGTAGACACCCTTACCAGTTGAGTAGTACTCATCTTGCGAAGCTTGAACGTTGGTAGTGTTGAACATGAGGTAGTGGGTGGAGGCCTCAGGAACCACGGTGGCCGAGATGCTGTAAACATTGTGATCCATCATGCTGTGA